GAAACTCCGTCTCTACTAAAGATATAAAAAATTAGCTGGGCATGGTGGCAGGTGCCTGTAATCCCAGCTACTCCAGAGGCTGAGGCAGGAGAATCGTTTGAACCCAGGAGGCAGAGTTGCAGTGACCCGAGATTGTGCTACTGCACTCCAGCCTGGGCGACAGGGCGAGACTCTGTCAAAAAAACAAAACAAAACAAAATCATGGGCCAGGCACGGTGGCTAACACCTGTAATCCCAGCACCTTGGGAGGCTGAGACGGTGGATCACTTGAGGTCAGTAGTTTGAGACCAGCCTGGCCAACATGGTGAATCCCCATCTCTACTAAAAATACAAAAATTAGCTGGGCATGGTGGCAGGCACCTGTAACCCCAGCTACTCCAGAGGCTGAGGCAGGAGAATCGTTTGAACCCAGGAGGCAGAGTTGCAGTGACCCAAGATTGCGCTACTGCACTCCAGCCTGGGCGACAGGGCGAGACTCCGTTAAAAAAAAAAAAAAAATCATGGAGTTTGAGACCAGCCTGGCCAACATGGTGAGTCCTCATCTCTACTAAAAATACAAAAATTAGCTGGGCGTGGTGATGGGCACCTATAATCTCAGCTACTCCAGAGGCTGAGGCAGGAGAATTGCATGAACCCAGGAGGTGGAGGTTGCGGTGAGCCGATTGCGCCACTGCACTCCAGCCTGATGACAGAGCAATACTCAAACAAACAAACAAACAAACAAACAAAAAACCCATGATGCTCCCTTTCTACACTTGCCCAGGTAGAAATGAGGGCTTTTTAAGCAAAAGCTTTAGCAGGTATATCCATATGTTAACAGCAGCAAACAAGACCCCATCACGAGCCCCAAACACCATTTCACCGCTGGCCTCTTGCTCAGGTGTCTACCCCGGTTCTCCAGGCAGCCAGAGCTTGGAGGTAACAAGCCTTCCCTCCCAACTCACCGATGCCCTTTTGGAGGGCGCAGTGGCTGCAGGAGGCACAGCAGCATTTTAGGGAGCCGAGACCTTCCTGAAAACACTCCCCACAGCAGACTTAGTGCGGGGCTCAGAGGATGAGAACAGCTTCCACTTCTTGGGCACAGACTCTGTGCGTGGACTGTTTTTCCTCCTCACACACCTATCAGGCAGGGGGTTGGCCCCTTTTGTAAATGATGCGACAGGCTCAGCTCAGGTGGCTGAGAAACCTGCCAAGGTCCCGGAGCCAGCAAGTGGCAGAACTGAGGGTGAAGCCGGTTTGCCCTGAGCTCCCCTATACACCGAGCTGCTGCTCACATGCTTCCAGGGACAGGGGCAGCGGCCACATCCACACCAAGGTGGGATGGCCACTTGGTCCCCCCAGCCCCACCCCAGCAGAGCCTTGTGGGCCACCTGTGCCTCCAGAACCAGCTCTGAGCCAGTGGGGGTTCTCCCCACACCTCATTCTGTGCCTCCTCCCTGGGCAGTAGACCCTTACCTTCTCCAGCTCCGGTGCCCACCCTAAGCCTGACCATCCAGAATCCCTCTCCCCCTCCTCCCAGTCAACCAGGCTTCCCTGGTCCCTTACTGTCCCTTCTGCCCAACTCTGGGCTCCCAGTGAGCCGGGAGGAGGCACCTGTATGACTTGTAGGGAAAAAGTCGAGACACCTGGATCCCACCCTGCACCTGCCACTGTGGGACTTGGCAAGTGGCTGTTGCTCTCTAAGCCTCGGTTTCCTCATCAGTAAAATGGGGAGATGCGGTCACCAGGCACTCCCCACGTTCTCCCAATGCTCAGGCAACGATGGAGCTCCCAAACCTCGGGCCAGGGTTTCCCATCGCTGAAACAGTCTTCTCCAACTTGCAGCAGAGGCTAACGGGTGGAATTTTCTCCGCCATTGACTTTTCTTTTATAAAATTTCCTTCAGGTGTTACTTAGTTCCTGCTACAGCCTGAACCCAGATACGGTGAAAACCCAGAATTACGTATCTTCACGTGTGAGGTGTTCTCTAATGACACCCAGGGCTTCTGATGTTTCACAACCTAAGAAGCTCGAGAACCAGTGCTCCGTGTAAATGGTTGGCTCTGTTAAACAAAGGAGACCAGCGAGAGGGCCACTGTGCCTTTCCCGGGGGGCCTGCTGCTGAGGGTGCCTGAGACGCCAGCTCCTAACTGCAGACCCGGCCACTAGAGGTGGAGGTGGGGTCCCCAAACCCCATAGGGCCTCGTGTAGACCTCCAGCGTTTCTCAGATTGTAGCCATGCACCACACCATCGTCATCGGCGGCAGCAGTGGATGCCCCACCCCTAACCCACCAAACCCACGACTCTGCAGGCGGGGCTAGGAGTCTGCCTTGTAAGGCCCTCTCTGCTGGCTTTATGCTCCCTAGCGTTTGAAGACCACTCATTTGACCCCCGCTCCCCTCTCTCCCAACCTGCTGTGTGATGGCAGGAGAGCTGGGCTCTGGGCCCCCGACACCCCCAGTGACACACACCCCATCCAAATCTTCAGGCCGTGGACTGTCGTCCACCCACACGATTCCAAGGAAAGAGTGAAACAAGGCAGGAGGCCATAGGGTTGAAGTGGCTGCCATGGTTGAGGGGCAGGGTGGACACAGGAGATGGGGAGTCATTTTCAAGGGATTTCATGCAGGGCTCTTGTTTTTGGATAGGGCCTCACTCTGTCGCCCAGGCTGGAGTGCTGTGGTGTGATCAAGGCTCACTGCAGCCTTGAACTCCTAGGTTCAAGTGAGCCTCCCGCCTCAGCCTCCTGAGTAGCTGGGACCACAGGCGTGAGCCGCAATGCCTGACAGCTCTTGCTCTTAAGTTTCCAAAATCGTGTTTTCTTTTTAAACCTGGAAGTCTTTATCCAGTTGAGCCCGGTAGAAAGAGGCCGAACCCAAAGGCCAACGTTTGGCCTCCACGCCCTACCTGGATCACGAGGAGGTGAATCTCCAGTTCTGCAATCCTCCGCCCTATGCAGCTGCGAACCCCGTGACCAAAGGGGATGGATCCAAAATTGTCAACTCTGTCTAAGCCTCCTTTCCGCAACCAGCGCTCAGGCCGGAACTCCTTGGCCCGAGGGAAGTTCTCATCCTGGTACGATGTGGCATAGTGGCAAAGGGCCAGCTGGGTCTGAGGAAATCAGGGATGACACAGAAAGGATAAGGAGCAGAATCACACGAGAGCAGGGCAGGGCCCAGAGCCCTAGCAGGACAGTCTCCCGGGATGCTCCCTCCCGGGGGCCGCCTGGGTCCACTCACACCCAGGATGGCGGCAGCTCCCTCCCTTCCCTCTCCACAGTGCACACCAAATGTCACTGCAACCACTGACAAGAACATCAAGCCCTGCAGAGACTCTCCGCAGTGACTGGCTACTTCCACACGGCCCGGGGAGCAGGCCAAGGAGCATGGGCGGCTTTGCTGGTAAGCAGTAAGTTTCCAGAACTTTGAGATCACATCATTCCCTTCCTTTCTCCCAACACCCCATCTTCATCTTAAAATACATGCAAAAGAAAAGGAAACCTATTGATCTCTGCTTAGGGACAAAGACTCTCTGAAGGTAGAAGCAGATTCCAATTCAACCCCAACCCGCAAGGCCTGGCCAACCCCTATGTCCCCAAACTCACGCCTTTCGGAATCAGATACCCGCCAATAACCAGGTCTTCCTGGGTGACCCGGCCGTTCCCTGGCAGCACTGGAAACAGCCTGCAGAAGAGCCAGCGGGGACAGGAACGATGTGGTGACTTTCACAATATTTTATTGAACATTCAGAACCTCGGATATATTCCCATTTCCATTAAAAATTCTTAAAAAGTAACACATGATACTTTTTCAACTGAAACATTTTACAAGGACCTTTGCAGCTTCTTTGCTGTCTTGCTTTGCCAGCAAGTATTCTGAGGAATGTGGAAAAGATTCCCAAAGCAAAACGTTTGCAAAACACAAAGCCAAGTCTTTCACATGCCATTGTGTTCCCAGAAGGGAAAATTCCAGGTTTCTAATATTTTATGTGACCATGGGACCACTTTATCAAGGAATAGTTCATAGGACTTAAGGCCCCATGAAATGCATTTGGAGAAACGGCATTTCAGCCATCAGGTTATGTCAGAAAACACTGAATAAAACTTTAATTGATAAATACCAAAAAACCCACAGCCAGCTCCTGTTTTGTTTTGTTTTGTTTTTCTAATTTTGAGATTGAACAGCATGCTCTATAGGTTGAGGGTCATTATCAAGTCAGCTTTGAAAGAATTCTTTAGTACATACTGCAGAAAACAAGCTTTGCTCTTTGTCACAGCACTTCCTCACAGAGGATGCCGTGTTTTGGGGAAGGGATGTCATCTGTCCCTAATCCCACCTCCTACCCAAACCATCCCCTCAACCCAGGACAGCCCACATCCCTCCGGCTTTCCCCTTTGTCAGGAAAGCCCTGTCTGGGAGCAAATGAGCCTCAGTGGGTGGCTTCTCAACCCAGATGAGGACATTCACACAAGAACCATGAGGTTTGTACCCAGGTCTGGAAATCAGCAGAACGCCCAAACTGTTTTCCTGACATATCAATCTTGTTTAGTGTTATCTTCAGGGGAACAAAGTCAAAGGCCGTTGACCCAGGCATATGCTGGGAAACCCCCGATAAGCCAATTGGCTAAAGCAGGGACAATATTCAATGACTGCTCCAAAAATCTTTTTTTTTTTGAGACAGTCTCGCTCTGTTGCCCAGGCTGGAGTGCAGTGGTGCAATCTCGGCTCTATCACCTGGCGTCAAGTGATTCTCTTGCCCCAGCCTCCCAAGTAGCTGAGACTACAGGCACCCATCCCCACACCCGGCTAATTTTTGTATTTTTAGTAGAGACGCAGTTTCACCATGTTGGCCAGGCTGCTCTTGAACTCCCGACCTCAGGTGATCTGCCTTGGCCTCCCAAAGTGCTGGGATTACAGGTGTGAGCCACTGTGCCCGGCCCAAAGATATTTACAGAGAACAAGGATTATGTCGACCCATAAAACAGAATGGTCTTTCTGCTATTCTGACAAGAGCAGAGGAAAAATAACAGCCACGAACGTCCTCATCCTAAACAAGTCAGTCATGGAAGGCAGCTGGAGAACTTGTTATGATAGAGAACCAGGGACGTAAGGGACACAGTTTGTTGATAGATTCTGGCGAGCCTTTTACCTCAGGGTTTCCTTAAGGAGAGCTCTGACCAGCGGGACCTTGGGGACATCAGCTGCAGTTGGAACATGCCTTTCCCCTAAATTCTTGACGATCTCCCGGTACACCGTCTGCTGCACCTCTGGGTGCCTTGCCAGGAGGTACACTGTCCAGGACAAGGTGAAGGACGTCTAAGGAGAGAAAGCGGCAGACACAGGCAGGCAGTGAGTAACACCAGGACTGAAACAGACGCGGTGGCAGGTATGAAGTCCCCTGGGAATACACACAGCTGCAAAGTCAAACTCATCCAATTCCATATAGCACTTAATGTCTTACAGAAACGAAAGACTGTTTCCTTAATTCATGGCAAAAATAATAATAATAATAACCAAACGTATTTGGCAAGTGACATGGACTCTATGATTCGTGTGCTGCTGTCATGAAAAGCCACAGGAAACATGATCCTGGAGCTTTTTTAATCACTGAAGAGCAGTATGTCAGGGACACTGTGGAGCCTGGAGGATCTGCTGGGACTTCGTGTGACCTTCTTTGCAGGGCTTACTCGCTGTGTGCCAGAAAGGGCCTCAGGCTGCCCCCCGGCATCCCCAGGCCCAGGAAGCTGGGCCCAGCCCACTCTGGCTGCCCTAATCTAGATATTGGAGTGCACAGGGGATCACTAGTTAGCCATCGTGTCCTGCCTTCATCAAGGAAGGTCCACACAGAGCAAGTCAATAGCTTGTCTATACAAAGCAGTGTGTCTTTTTTTTTTTTTCAGAATCTCGCTCTGTTGCTCAGGTTGGAGTGCAGTGGTGCGATCTGGGCTCACTGCAAGCTCCACCTCCCGGGTTCCCACCATTCTCTTGCCTCAGCCTCCTGAGTAGCTGGGACTACAGGTGCCCGCCACCACGCCCACCCAGCTAATTTTGTATTTTTTAGTACAGATGCGGTTTCACCGTGTTGGTCAGGCTGGTCTCGGACTCCTGACCTTGTGATCTGCCCGCCTCAGCCTCTCAAAGTGCTGGGACTACAGGCGTGAGCCATGGCACCTGGCCAGCCATGTCATTTTTTATACCTCTCCTCAAACCTTTCTACTTACTGAAAATCATTGTTTTATTCTCGTAGGTCCCAAGATTTTCACTAAAATCAATAGTATAATCTATGGGGCTACATTTCACTCTCTTGGCCACAGTATGAAGGCCTTTCTCTTTCACAAAAAAAAAAAAAAAAAAAAAAAAAACCTAATTTAAGCAGGCAATATTGATATCATTTTCTTGTAGAAGATATCACGTGTTTTGGAGGGCAGGCCACTTGTATATATAATAGAATGTGCAAGCTCTTATAAATTATAAAAGATTACTTAGATGCTTCCTATCAAGAGAATAGAAAATTTCTATTAAAATCACATTTTTACAGAAAAAAATGTGGTATATCCATACGATGGAATACTACTCAGTAATAAAAAAGAATCAGTTACTGTTATATGCCACCACATGGATGAATCCGAGTCATTCTTCTAAGTGCAGGAAGCCAGATGCAAAAGACAGCATACCATATGACTCCATTTTCATCAATGTTTAGAAAAATGTGGCAGTGGTTTCATAAATGATTCCATCTGTCAACAATCTGTATCGCATTAGGCAGTTTAAATGGAGTTGACTGTGCATAAATTATGCTGCAATAAAATCATACTAATTTTTAAAAATCAGTATGAAGTTGTAAGAATTTGTCTCCTGGCTTCTATTGTAGGATGCTAAAAGGAACAGCTTCCTTCTGAATGCCACCTCATTGTGATGTTCTTAGTTACCACCAGGGGGCAGGAGGCACAAGCTCAGCGACCAGGCCATTCATTCATTTCTTCACCTTTCAAGCGGTGTCTCAATTTGAGCAAATCCACATCATCCCATTCACATGGTTAATTAGAATCTTCATTGATTGTATCATTAGTTTGCATTGAATTCATATACTTTTTGTTTTATTGTTGCACACGATACAAAAGAATAAGGAGTTTATGCTGTGTGTGTGTTTTTGTTTTGTTTCGTTTTTTGCTTTTACATGCTTAAGTGACATCATAATAAGAAGAAAGCTTTAAGGCTTCTTCGTCCCTTTAAGATGGAGGTCTGTGCAGGGAGTGCCTTATTCAAGGCCGGGAAGCACCCGTGCAAAGGAAAAGCTTTCAGATGATGAGCTTGGTTGTTTAGTTTTGCCACCTGTTAATGAAGTCAACCACTCCTACCTTAGAGGAAGCCGTGAGACAGGCAGGGTGTGCATGGAATGCTCTGGAAACAGCGAAGCGTCACGCAATCTAAATTCTCACTTTCCACCTGACCACCAGAAGCACCCCAGCCCACAGCCTCCCCAGTTTCCGGCCAGAAATTTCATTATCTTCCACCTACTGAAAGCATCAGCCTAGCTCCTCCCCGTTTTGCCACTTCCTTTTAGCAAATTTTACAACTGCTCTGCACCTGTACCTACATGGGGATCATTTTCACACATATCCTATTAATTGTATCATATTATACATGTGTTTTTGAAAGGAACTTGGCTCCTTATCCCCCCTGGACCATGCCACTCCCATCCAGCCAAGAAACCCGTGTTAACTACCTAGTGTGTTCCCTCCACGCCCTGCTCTGTGTTAACGCAGTCACGGACAGATGTGCACACGCACACAGCTGGGAGGGGGCGGTGCCGCTGCGTCTTACTCACAGGACATGGTATACCCGCTGGTCTGCCTCTTCCTTTCCCGTCGGATAGCCTGTGGGATGCCCCCAGGTTAATGGGCAGTGCTCTGTTCTCATTCTGATATGAACCCTCCCTGGGTCCAGTGTATCATTGATCTGCCACGCTAGTAGGCTGCATTCACAGGGAATTTGTTGATACACACACACACACACACACACACACACACACACATACTCTCTCTCTCATCAACCAAACTGCTTAAGTTTACTTTCTTCACACTCTCTTTAGCAGGTTTTGGTTTTGAAGTTATGTTGGCTTTATATAACAAACTGAGGGGTGAATGAAATGAACTCTTGGCTTTATGAAATAAATTCCACGGCCTGGAATATGTCAAATGATAACTAATAAGGTTTTTAATGTCCGTACCCTCTTCATTCGTGAAATTATGAAACAATGACAAAATGTTAGGAATGACTTGTAAACTGTAAACATTTATTATAATTTTGTGTGTGCGATATGGAATTTTGGTTACGCTTTTCACAGAAATCATTATGCACCTTACATTTAATATATAATCATGCATCGTATAGGGATGTTTTGGTCAATGATGGACCCAATATACAACGGTGGTCCCATAAGATTATAATCCCACATTTGTACTGTAGCTTGCCAGTGTTTGAGTATGTTTGGATACACACATACTTACCACTGTGTTCCAGCTGCCCACAGTATTCAGTACAGTAACATGCTGTACAGTTGTGTAGCCTAGGAGAAATAGGCTCGACCATGCAGCCTAGGTGTCTGGTAGGCTACCATCTAGGTTTGTGTAAATACACTCTAAGATGTTCACGCAATGACAGGACCACCCAACAACGCATTTCTCAGAACAAATCTGCATCATTAAGTGATGCGTGACTACTCACGCAGAGTTTTCTCCTCCTGGAGCCCCTCAGCAGTGCAGCAGGCCTAGTACAAACATGAACAGTGCGCTAAACAAATCTGCCGTAAAAGTAGACAACAGCCAGTCACAGTGGCTCATGCCTGTAATCCCAGCACTTTGGGAGGCCGAGGCAGGTGGATCACCTGAGGCCAGGCGTTCGAGACAGCCTGGCCAACATGGTGAAACCCCCATTGCTACTAAAAATACAAAAAATTAACTGGGGATGGTGGCAGGCACCTGTAATCCCAGTTACTCTGGAGGCTGAGGCAGGAGAATCACTTGAACCTGAGAGACCGAGTTTGCAGTGAGCCGAGACCGTGCCATTGCACTCCAGCCTGGGCGATACAGTAAAACTCCATCCTCCCCCGCAAAAAAAGTAGACAACGTCCGCGAGATGGTGAGGAAGGGGTTATCGTGTGTTGCTTGCTGAGAACCAGGACCCCAGACTCACCGTGTCGACGCCGGCCAGCAGCATCTCAGTCACGTTGGCGTAGATCTCCTGTAGCGTCAGCGCCTGGCTAAGGAAGAGGTATGTGAGGAGTCCCCCGCTCGCCCTCCGGCCTCGGTCCGTGTGGTACTGTATGTCCCTCAACTTGTTGTCAACATGAATTTGGCCTGTTTGAAAACAGTATTTCTTTTGAAAGGAGTTTGGGTTGACAATCATCTTTTCAGTCTCAATGCCCTCTGTCCTCCCAGTAGCTTAACTAAACCAGGGGCAGGTGACAGAGGGTAAGGAAACCCAATTTATCTAATGTCAACCCGGGAGTTTCACTCATACACTTGCTTATGTAAATGAATGAAAAGTTAAAAGACAAGCCAAACATATCTTTCTTTTTAAAAATAAGCTGTAAGATATTTGCAAATGTTTGCTTTACTAATCCAATAGCCAAATATATTATTTATATAATATAAGTAACAAAAACGCAAACTCTTTTATTTTTATCTACCACATTTTCAGAAGAGAAAATGAATGGAGGGGAAAAGGCCATGCATTATCATCTGGATGTTACCGTGCAGCACAGACTTCAGGGCTTATATATTCAAATAAATGTTGTTGTTGTTTTTTCCTTAAGACAGAGTCTTGCTCTGTGGCCCAGGCTGGAGTGCAGTGGCATGATCTTGGCTCTCTGCAACCTCTGCCTCCCAGGTTCAAGCAATTCTCCTGCCTCAGCCTCCTGAGTAGCTGGGATTACAGGCACACACCACCACGCCCAGTTAATTTTTGTATTTTTAGTAGAGATGCGGTTTCGCCATGTTGGCCAGGCTGGTCTTGAACTACTAACCTGAGGTGATCCTCCTGCCTCAGCCTCCCAAAGTGCTGGGATTACAGGCGTGAGCCACTGTGCCCAGCCTAAATATTGATCTTGAAAAGACACCATGAAACACTTTCTTCAGTGTTAGCATTGCTCTAGAACATTGTTCTAAGCATTTTGAAAATCATTACTTTCTTTTCGGAAATGCTTTTATAGTAAAAAAACAAATCTCTTTGTAATCTCACCTTGGATTGGAACAAAAATTGTAACGTTCAAATAAATGTGCATGGGCCTGAAACTCTACAGTTTAAGCACTGACCAATTTATTTGGAGTAAAGACATCATCTTGCAAGGACATTTACTTGTACATGTCCCTGCTAGCATGCCTGTTAAAATAAAAATTATTTTAAAATGAAAAACCTGATCATGTTACCTGTAGTCACAACCCACATGCTTTTTACTCCTTTGAAAAACAAATCCATGGCCAGGCACAGTGGCTCACTTGTAATCCCAGCACTTTGGGAGGTCAAGGTGGGTGATCACCTGAGGTCAGGAATTCAAGACCAGCCTGGCCAACATGGTAAAACTCCGGTTCTACTAAAAACACAAAATAATTAGCCGGGCACGGTGGTAGGCGCCTGTAATCCCAGCTACTCGGGAGGTTGAGGCATGATAATCGCTTGAACCTAGGAGGTGGAGGTTGCAGTGAGCCGAGATCACACCACTGCACTCCAGCATGGGTGACAGAGCCAGACTCCGTCTCAAAACAAAACAAAACAAAACAAAACAAAACAAAACAAAAACAAATCCAGGCCGGGCGCAGTGGCTCAAGCCTGTAATCCCAGCACTATGGGAGGCCGAGACGGGTGGATCACGAGGTCAGGAGATCGAGACCATCCTGGCTAACACGGTGAAACCCCGTCTCTACTAAAACATACAAAAAACTAGCCGGGCGAGGTGGCAGGCGCCTGTAGTCCCAGCTACTCGGGAGGCTGAGGCAGGAGAATGGTGTAAACCCGGGAGGCGGAGCTTGCAGTGAGCTGAGATCCGGCCACAGCACTCCAGCCTGGGTGACAGAGCAAGACTCCATCTCAAAAAAAAAAAAAAAAAAAAAAACAAATCCAAAAGTTATGGGTCCAAAAACCAACACATGACTACATCTAGGCATCCTCTGCTATGGTCACCCATTGTCTGGATGAGAGTTAGACACACGACACGGCAGGTCAACCTGCTTCTGCAAAAGGTGCTCTCAATTCTTCTCTTACTGAATTTGAAGAGTCCATCCCAGGACCTGCAGAATTCCCGCCAGGGCTTTGGGATGAAGGGGCGAAGCCATCTGGGGATGGCGCCTGCATACATGGAGGTCTTGAACATGCTAAACATGAGCTCCAGGGCCTCGATGTATTCCACAGTCAGCTGTGGTATGCTGTTTTCCAGACAGCCCAAACGACTCTCATAAAGGATGGTGGCCACTCCTAGACAGGAAAGAGAATTTGAAAACCCTCTTCTAGATTATTTACCATACCAACAGGCAATGTTGGGCCATAAATGCAACTTTCAAACGTGGTCCAAATGTCCCAAATGAGACATCGTCACTCTGAGGATGCCTCTGCGTCCTGAGCTGCAGGGCGCTGGCATTTAGGGCTGACAGGTGGCGCTGTTGCTGCTTCGTCTAAGGAGCCCCACAGCCCTGGGAGGCACAGGTGAAGCCCTCTCCGGCTCCGGAGGAAACTCAAAGACTCCCAGAGTTTCAGCAGCTTGGCTAAGGCTGCAGAGGAGGATCCTGGGACAGCCCGGGGGCAGGGTCTGAAATGATGAGCCCTAGGGAAGGGCCAATCACTGAACATGTGACTGCTCTCCCCTAACACCCTCCCCTCAGGAAGGAGGTGGCAAACCCCACAGGGCCTCTTCCTGCCCCACATGGCCGCTGGGGATGGCCTTCCAGCCACCTGCCCAACTTGAGGAATTGAGAGGTGACTCCTCCTGGCCAAAACAGGGAGCCCAGGCCCGGAGAGCTAAAGGCACAGTAGAAGTGGCCTGGATGAATCCGTGTGGGGCAGAGCTGTGCACCGTGTTTACCAATCACTTCTGGGACGATTTTATTATTAATTTTAGAGAAAATTAATATCAGAACTCTGCAAAGCTAACCTAGTGAAGCTTGAAGTGAGGTAAGCTTTTTTTAAAAAAGATGAGAAAGCTGATAGAAAGTCCTCCAAGATGCAGTCTTTTTTTTTTTTTTTAAACACACAGAAATCACCATGTTAGACCAAGATGCTTTTTTTTTTTTTGAGATGGAGTTTCACTCCTGTCACCCACACTGGAGTACAATTGGACGGTCTCGGCTCACTGTAACCTCCGCCTCTCAGGTTCAAGCAATTCTCCTGCCTCAGCCTCCCAAGTCCCTGGGATTACAGGTGCCCACCACAATGGCCCAGTTAATTTTTGTAGTTTTAGTAGAGACAGCATTTCACCATGTTGGCCAGGCTGGTCTCGAACTCCTGATCTCAGGTGAACCACCCACCTCAACCTCCCAAAGTGCTGGGATTACAGGTGTGAGCCACCATGCCCGGCCCTAAGATGCATTCTTAAGTAAAGAGAAAGCACGGTGCAGAACAGTATGTTTGGTGTACAACCGTTTATTGTTTTAAAATAAAAAGAATATTCACACGCATTTTTCTGTATGTGCATACACCATCTCTTGACACATACATGAGAGACTAGTGACCTTGCTGCCTTCAGGAAAGAGGGAGACCTTCACTGACCCCCTTTTGGTATTGCTATTTGAACAGGAATGTACCACCCATTCAATACGACTAAAAGCTAGAACGAGTTTGAAGTAGATGCCCTCTCAACTTTACTCCTTTTTAATAGGCTCAAACAAAATGTGTAGTAATTAGGAACATGGCTTCTTGAGTTTAAAAGACCTGAATTTGAAACTAACTTTCTGCCTCTAAAAAGAGGAATGGGGGTGTGGCATTGGGCAAGTTCTTTTTTAAGTCTCAGTTTCAGCTGGGCACCGTGGCTCACGCCTGTAATCTCAGCACTTTGGGAAGCCAAGGCAGGCAAATCACGAGGTCAGGAGTTCAAGACCAGCCTGGCCAACAAAGTGAAACACTGTCTCTACTAAAAATACAAAACATTAGCCAGGCGTGGTGGCAGGTGCCTGTAATCCCAGCTACTCAGGAGGCTAAGGCAAGAGAATCGCTTGAACCCAGGAGGCAGAGGTTGCACTGAACCAAGACCATGCCATAGCACTCCAGCCCAGGCAACAGAGCAAGACTCTGTCTCAGGAAAAAAAAAAAAAAAATCTCAGTTTCCTCATTGGTCAACAGTGGTTCACACCAGGTTCACTTAGCACCGTGCAGGTGATACGCATGTATGTCCCAGACTTAGCACACTGCCTGGGACCTAGGTACCAAGATGACATCTGCGGGTTTGGGGCAAGCATCCACTCTTCCTTCCTTCCCACCTGCTGATTCCACCTCACCTTCCATTGAATATTTGAAGAAAAGGTCATTGACATTGGTCACAGTTTCTCCATCTTCTGCCTGGCTCCTGAGGAGGTAGATTCTTTTAATTAAGTCAGCAATAACTTGGTTGACTTCTCCAGAATAAATGGCCACATCTTTCGGTTTCAGAATTCTTTGTCTCAATACGCTTCTCATCTTGAGCCACTGTTCACCTTCCCTAGAAGAATCAAGTGAGTTTCAAATCATCTTACTTACACTGACATTCTGGGAAAGAATTCAAGGAACCTCTAGAAAAATTTTCAGCCATAAAGAATCAACAAGAGCTGCCAAAGTGGAATTAAGACAGGAAATACTTTTTGCTGGGGAGAGAGGAGTTAATAACTGCAGCCCTGGAGCCTGTTAGAGCTTCTTACACTCTTGCCTTTGAAGCAAACTTTAAGGAAAAAACTACCAGTGGTAAGTAATCATCTTTAGTAAAAGTA